AGAGATCATATTGGAGTAAGTGCAAAAGTAAACATTGTGAATCTACCAATTCTTATTAATTATATTTAAAGAAGAAAAAAAAAACAAGCAAAAAAGTACATACGTAATATAGCGCTGAATGCTACCACAGTTTAGTATGCATTCAAACTTATAGATTTATGCATACAAATATATATTTTACCTCTTGATTAGCAATAAATAAATTTATCTATTAAATGTACCCAAAATTCTCCAAAAATTAAATTATTAAAGTAAAAATACAAACACACAAGATTAGTTAATGTAAGTATCGCAAATTATTATTATATTCTAGTTGAATAATGTAAAAAAGAGAATAACACGTTGAAAATGTGAAGTTTATTATTATAACTTATACATTATGTAATTAATATAATTTTTATTTAACAAACAAAAAAAAACACAAAAATTGTGTATAATGTACGTAAATTGAAAAATTAAAAAAAATTAACAAAAACTCGATTAAAAATCTAAAAAAAAATCAATAAAACTTTTTGAAAAATCACCTAAATGTTTTTAGGTATTAACTTAAAAACCAAAATATATTGAATTTTTATTTAAATGAGAAAAGAGTAAGAAAAACCTATACTTTGTTGTCACTGGCATTCTAAACAACATATTTTTTGCTATAGTAACTAGTCCTTGAATCGTAATGTAATACAAAAAACTAGTCCAAAACGAATATTTTTTTTCAACTGTCTCAAGAAGAATTTCACTAAATATATCTCAGATAAACTCTATACATGGACACATTTTCAGCAGTCCGTTTCTAAAAATTTTTCTACTTTGTATTATGTATACATCGATAAGTACTATAATAAAGGTACTCGTAATATTATATTATAATATTATACATAAGGGACGGAGCCCTGAAGTTATATGCTAAAACTGACAAGCTATCCTACTTAGCACTATCTAATCTTAAAGTAATCACTCTCCGCACGGGGAGATCTACGCAGATCTTAGATCAATCACTGAATAATCATGAAGCTTAGAAGGAATATATAAATTAGTCGATGAGATGGATGGGACCCTGTAGTACCCCCAGCTACCAAAGAGTAAAAGTAAATTAAAATGATCAACATACATACATACTATTATACTTCTTCATTTCGAGAAGAAGGTACCCTTTTGCAGACTATATTTATTGCGTTGCAACAAAGTTCTCATCGGCTGTGTGTCTGGAATCTATTAAAATGGAAGACAACTGTCATGTGCAGCAAAAATTTTAATAGCTAAACTCAAATCAGAGTATAATATTTATACATCTAATCCCTCCGTTTTGTTCATAACGATGCTTATCTGTTAAACTGTTTCATCGTACCTAAAATCAACTCCTATCGATTTACTATTCCATTAAATTGAGGTGTCAATATTCACTCACTCCGATCTCGTTTAGTTTCAATACCATTCAAAATACGTTGATATATATGGCTCACTTCCTCTGTTTATTTCTCACATATTCCAGCCAACAACCTCTCCTCTAAGCTAATGCATTTGTCCATATACAATAGCAACATTGTATCTTTTATTATTCAACCCGTGTACAACAACAACATTCTATTTAAGTCCATTTTATATTAACAATATCTGAATAAATAAAAAGATGTACTTGGTGCTTATGAAGTCACATCCCTAGTTTTCTATTTAATATAATATTGTTATAGTTTTCATAGATATTCCGACAGCTATAGAAAATCTTTATTTTCCATAGCATTACTTTACATAAGTAAGTATTTTGTGTTTGTCCGCGTCCAATAGTATTCTTCACCAGTCATCTCGATCAGTTGTTTGTTGTCGCCAGTTGGTAGTACCGAGAGACATCAGATCGTTTCTTACTTAACCCTTACGTTAAAAATGCAGATGTCGGAACGTTTTAAGTTGATCTGGAAATTTATTTGTAAAAAGAAAGTATTTTGCTTTATGTACATTTACCAAAAGACTCATATTTTTCTAATTTGGAAAGGTGTTCAGTTAAACAATAACTATATCTTTGGCTGTCGTCAATTGAGCCAGTATGGCTCAATGCTTCTGCTCCAATTATCGTTTTGAGCATTATGATAAATAAGTCATTTGGTATCGAACTGCATGAAATGGTTCTTTACAATTCTAATAAAGCTGATATGGTAGTGTTGGAAAAAAGATTTAAATCGTGGGTTAAAACGAAGCTATTCTCAAACAGAGTCTAAATATGGTAACATTATTTCTTTTCAACCACAAGAAACACTTTTTTTACCTCAAGATAAAATGTAACTTTTAACTTATCTCTGTCTACTCCAGTGAAAAATGATATTGAACTAAATTGTATCGAAATTATAAAATGTTATTTAAATAATGAGGCAGAATTTTAAATGGATCTGTGAGCAAGTGACTACAGACATTTAGTTGAATAGTTGGACAACTATTTGCAGTACACAGTTTTAGATATACTATAGAACACATTCAAAACCGACTGGTATATATGGGATAACCAATATATATACTAGAATTATTTTCTAGCGATATATTAGAAAATATTTTATTGGCAATATTTTTAAAGCATATTATCTTAAGGAGGTATCTATTCCCTAATTCCCACTGGATGTACTACTGTAGCTTTACGTAAAGTTACTTAGTGGTTTGTAGAATACAGGATTTAACTATTTTAAATAAAATTAAATATTTTCTACAATTTTTACTTAACAGTTATAATTCTATTATTTATATTTATTTAAAATTTCATAGATATATATTAATTAATGTCCCTTGGAATTTCAATTAGCTTTCAAAGGCCATACAATACCCTCGATCCAATCAATGTAAGCTGATACTCTTGTGTATATGCTAGGTCCACCATAACAACCTAGTCCATATGATGTAATACCAACAACATAATCAATTAATTTATCTGTAGTTAGTTCCATTATTACTGGTCCACCGCTGTCACCCTGAAATTATGATTAATATAAATAAAAGATATATATGTCATATTTAAATTTCTAACATACAAGACAAGTATCGTGTAATGTTACTGGATCTTCAAAACAAATCTGAGTATTAATTACACCATTTGGTAAATTGTCATCCGATTTATAATACGTTCCACATTTTTTGTTATTTATTTCCTTTAACTTTGCTTTTGATACATTTTCAGAAATTTGAGGCTCTAAAACCAAATAATAACATAAAAATAACATAATATGTCAAATAATAATGATTTTAAGTCAAATAACATATAAATTTTCGTAGTAGCATATGGCAGTATATCTTATATATATATGTTATATATCTTACCAAATATTGGTCGTCCATAACCAATGGCAGTAACATTTGTATTAGGTAGATCATGTTTATCCCATAGACAAGCAACAGTTTTACTATAAGGTTACAAGGTTTCAAAATGAAAATGTATTAAATTGAAAAGTGGAACCTACTCAGAATCTTTCTCCAATTCTAATAACGCTATATCATTGTAGCTTAAATTAACGTAAGGGTGAGTAAATATCCTTTTAATTTTTATATCTCTTATATTTTTATCCTTCAAGTTACCTCCACCCAATCGAACGAATTCTGGTTGTCTGAAATATTCTCAAAATTTATTTTTATTATAAAATTAAATATATATAATGTTTCCATTCTTAATTGGAACTTAAAACTAATATAAACTACGTAAACTTATTAACAACTGTGATTGGTTTATTTCAATTATAGAAGAGAAACATCTCTTCACTTAGTATTTTAATAGTAGTATTTTTAGTAGATGGATGTCACGTCCCGATTTAAGCAAAAAAAAAAATTAAAGGAGAAAGTAAAATATGTATAAATTTGTTCTTAATTACGCCCAATCCATGATTTAAGTATAATTTCTTACTACAGTAGTTGGCACTCTCACTGTAGTTCAATTGTATGGAATACTTGTACAGTAATTACCAACTGTAGCGTAACATTCAACATTTCTAGCCACTGCAGTTTAAGTGTGCTTTGGGAATAGTTGTTATCAATAACAAAAGTGTTAGAGTATAAACTGAAAATAGATTTGTTTTGCACATTTAAATCCAAACTAATTTACAATATAGAACTTTTAATGACACAATATACTATATAATGTTAAAGTGAAAGTAGTGAATATATATATAGTGACATTCTCTTTGCACTGGTTACACTCAAGATAAGTTTTATTCAAATTTACTTGATGAATATCAATGAAACTGATTTGAATATATTATTAATTAATTATAATAACAAAAACAATCAATCAATATAATTATTGAACTATTCAACGAGACTATTTTAAAACACTTATTAATGTCCATATGTTATTCTGCTCAAGTTGTTTAAACTTACGTATCACCATCGTCCGCACAGACGGCTGATGTTAAAACAAATCTCTGTGATATAAGAGTTCCGCCACAATAATAGGTTGCAGATTCAGAACCACTTTTTCTATAACCTAAAGCCGCCTACGACATATTATAAAATTATATATATGTATATTGCATATAAATTTTATATTCATTATTCGTTCAAAAATTTACCATATAAGGAAATTCGTTTGCTTGTGTTGGTAAACCAGGCCCATTTCCTACGACGGTTCTGCGAATAATATGGTGATTAGATCTTTCTGGATGTGAAGCTAAACATTCTGGTGAAAAATCGATTTTAATTTATTGTTATGTTTATTAAATTATATCAACACTAGTATTACCAAGTTGAGAAGGTCGTATTTTGGAAGAAGCAGCTGCAAAAATATATATTTTTAAAATAATTGCATAAAATACCGGAATCTTTAACTTACACCTTCCAAATATAAAACACAACATAAATAAAAATTTACATATAAATTTCAACATTTCAATTCTAAAATTTTTCACCGATTAAGTGCTGACTCTAAGCTCGATCGATTGCAACTGCCAAGACGATGCTAAGATGAAACAATTATGTTCTTACATTTATAAGAAGAGCTGAAACAATTTAATGAAAAAAAAAATAGTATTTTTTTTATATACCAATTTCAAAACTTAGCATCTGAGGTCTTTGGGTTTTTACTTAATGTTAAGCATGCACTGTTGCCGTATATACTGTAAAATTATTTATCGCTTGAGATTATTTATTTATAAATAGCTTCTTAAGATTCTTTGGAAGTGCTTGCTATATGCTTGGATATAGGTATATTGAGTTTAATATATTCAATGCACATACATTGTTACAGTGTGTCTAGTAGAACACATTGATGTGTTATCAGCATACCCAGTAGAATTGGCACATCGTTTTACCGATATGCAGCGAAAACTTGAAAATCTGGAAGCAAAAGCTGCAAAAGTTGGGCTCAAGATCAATGCACAAAAAACCAAAGGAATGCGAATTAATACAACATGCAGTGACCGATTCGAACTTCAAGGTTAAATCATGGAACAAGTAAATGAGTTTCAAGACTTGGGAAGTGCAGTAGCTATTGATGGTCGCAGTATGCAGGACGTGAGTGCAAGAATACGAAAGGCGATTGGCACAAAGCATGTGTTTTATCCATACTGCTATATGCTTGCGAAACATGGCTCGTAACCGAGATCATTCAAAACAAAGTGTGTTCGTTTGTAAACTAGTTCCTTCGGAAAATATTACGTATGTTTTGGCCAAACCGAATTTCAAACCAACAATTGTGGAACAAAACAAATACAAACGATATCAATATAAATATCCGCAGGAGAAAATTTGGCTGGATTGGTCACATCTTACGAAAGCCAACAAGTGAAGTCTGTTTTCAAGCTCTTACGTAAAACCCGCAAAGCAGTAGAAGAAGAAGAAGGCCTAAAATTACTTGGCGCAGATCAACAATAAACGAAATCAACAGCCAATCAACATACCTTGGCAGATCATACACCAATATTGTTGATATTTTATAAGTGAAGTGAAGTGAATCACAGTTTTGAGATAAATAAAACTAATTTTGTCCGTTAGTCGGGAAATATTGCAAATAATAATAATAAGAGATCTGCGGAAAGCGTTAAGTTACTATTTTCTTATTTAGCCATAACAACCCGTTACCGAGTTTCTGCCTGACGCAGCATGCCTCCCCAGGTGCCTCTGCTGCGCAAAAAAAGAGAAGAAATAAAAAAGAGTGAAAAAATTAAATGGTAAGAGCGCACAACTTTCAATCGAATGAGTTCGTTATGCAGACATGATCTTCGAGACATGTACGCAAAATGTCTTTGAATACTTTTGGCTAATTTGTTCAAAAATGTCTTAGAAGACCGTCATACATTTGGGTCGATCGATCTTCATGTATGTATCCATGTCTTGAAGACATTTCGGATCGACGGATTGATCCGATTTCTACTGGGACGATGTGCAGTTTAACAATACTTGGTTCTTGCCACTATATTATGAATAATATTGGTATCAATGTTAACCGTAGATAGAATGCCCAATACTGTCAACCACAAAAACCAGTTTTTTTTAATAGCAATAAAGTAGATAAAGCGAAATACCTCGGATATATATTAAAAGGTGGTACTACTGCGGACGCCAAAAATTGGTTTCGTGACGAATTCGTATTCTAAAACGAAAGTGAAGTTTTTAATACTTTTGTTGAAACCGTTTTATTATATAGCGCAGAGAAGTGGTTTATAATAGACTTAATTGTATATAAAAAACAAATTTTAATCGACGGTTTTTTGTGATAGATATTAAGAATATTGGTATACATTTTGTATACATATTGTCAGTAATGAATGCATAGGCTAGACAAATAAGTAATCAAACATCTGACTGAATCGCACTTTCCACAAGCCTCTAAATAAAATTTTGCACGCGATTCTGGAATAGAATCCTCCAGAAAGAGAGAAGAAGGTTAATCGATAATTACTTGGGGAAGGGTGATCACAAAGAAATATATAAATATTATCAAAACCTGTGTCAAGAAAGAAAACAAAAAAAAATAAAAAATTCTGTCCGGTTAGGATTTTCTAATAAATTAACTAAAAGCAAATTATATAATATTATTTAACCAAATTTATACAAATTCATTTTTCAAAAAATATGTAAAATTTATTCTACAGTCTATATCCTTTAATTAGTTGCTATGTTTTATATTTTAAAAATATAAATAACTTTGATATATAAAACATTTATATTTAAAGTGTGCTATATATAGCTGGTATTCGTTAGAATCCACAATACTACGTATCTACATATACCCATATTTTATATTAATATGTTTATAATGACAGAGGCCATACAATGTTCTCTATCCAATCGATGTAAGCTGATATTCTTGTATTTACGCTGGGTGGTTTGCCAGCACAGCCTTGTCCAAATGATGTTATACCAACAATAAAGTCATGTATAATGTCTTCACCAATTTTCATGATTACTGGACCACCAGAGTCACCCTAACATAATGGCATTAATTTAGCCAATATTTTATTATATTTAAATTTCTCACAACTTATAAAATACCTGACAAGTGTCTCGTAGTTCTTCTGGATCTCCAGCACAAATCTGTGTATTGATAATGCCATATTGAAGTTGATCGTTATCATGAATATAATGTGTTCTACAAAGATTATTGTGAACTATATTCAAATTGGCCTTTAGCAGCTGTTGAGAAGCTTCTCCGCCTATATAAGTTAATATCAAATATTTTTATTGAATTTATATACACTATAATTAATAGTTAATAATTAATCTCACCGAATTTTGTGTGTCCATAACCAATTGCTGTAACATTTTTATTTGGTAGATCATATTTACTCCATAAGCAAACTACCTCATTACTTAAAATATATATTTGTTAAAAAATGTATTAATTATAAGTCTTGTGTTCATGTATATATTAAACTTACTTTGATTCTTGTTCCAGCTCTATTAATGCAATATCATTATAAGATGATATATAGTCGTATGAAGGATGCACTATAATTCTTTTAATTTTTATGTCCGAATTCTTGGAGTCAGTAAGATTGATTCCTCCAATGCGAGCGTATTTTGGTGTTACACTAGAATTATAACAAAATAATAATTGCAGTATCTTTAATTATTTACATTAATTATATTGTGTATATATTTTCCTATACCATAATTATATTATAGATTATTTCACTTATTTTTATTAATTATTTTTATTTTTAGCTCATTTAGATCAGACTTAAGTTACTTGATAAGTTGATTTATTAAATAGGTTAAAACACAAAAAGGGATTTAATGATCATTTATTATATATTACATTCAATTATTCAAAAAAAGTTTAAATCATTAATTATAATTTGTTCTAATGTGCATATATATTAACTTTGAATAGTTTCGAGTTCACATTTTAATATTAATATATTTGTTATTTATTTAATATTTTCAATAGTAATTTATTTAATATAATTACAATAGTAAATTTTATTAAAAGTTTAAAAATTAATAATTGAATTTAATGATAAAACTTAAATAATTTAATTTTTTTTAAAGAGAACTTTTTGCGTAGTGTGAAAACCCACAAACCTTTATTCACAAGAGTTTTTTTTACACAATATATATGGTATATACTCAATATCTTATAGTATATACGAGTACATATGTATATATAAATGTATACGCAATTAAAACGATAATTTTTCATTATCGCTCTAATTATTAAAACTGGTTTTATGACTTACCCGCCCAAATCTGTGCAATGTGCTGCTGTTAGAACGAATTTCTTTGATATAAGAGCACCACCACAACGGTAGATTATTGAACTATCTAAGTTGGATGTCCAACCCAATGCAACCTGAAATGCACTAGTACATCAGTGTTTTTTAAGTGTATATAATTCAATCTATTCTTTATATTGTATATTAATTTACCATATAAGGAAATTCATTTAGTTCTGTTGGATCACCATGTACCACAGTCGTTCGAACTATATTATCTCCTTCAGGAATAAGTTTATGCAACTGTGGCGCTGGCGTAATATTAAGCTCTGGCATACATGCTGTAAAGCATATAAAATTATATTTATTTAATTAAATATTTTTTTTTTTAATTCTTTTTTAATTAAAACCATTATTTAATAATTTAATTGTGATAGCTTACCCAACTCACTGCGACGTCTGGCTATTGCCGGTGATAAATAGCAGCCCTCTGCACCGAAAGCTAATTCACAGCAAACGATTTGCTCGAACTTATTGAAGTAGCAAGTCTTAGGACGTATATTTTCATTTTTCCAACGACTCAGAGCTGAGGGACAGTCACGCAGATTTTTACATTTTCCCTTAATCTGTTGTTTTTCATCCATATAACAATCATCAAAAAATTCTTTGTTTGGATAAATAATACGGCCGTTTTGTGAGTTGTCATAATAAGTTGCCGCTATAGGAATTTTTTTAGTAAGTTTCACAATCTTAAAGATATTTCATTTAAGTAAGTATACAGAACTTACAATTTCTGCAAATAAGAATATAGAAAATAAAAATCTTCCACAATAATTCCCACATTCTTTTCGATAAGTCGTCCAATTAGCCTGAAGTATCTTTAAGCTCGTACTGATTGCTACTGTCAAGCCATGAATTTATAAAATCAACAATTTCTCACAAAATTTTCACTTTGTATGCTCAATGCTCTTAAATATTTGTTTATGTTAAGTTTTTATATTTACAAGTTGAGATGAGGGAACTTGATTTCAAACGGCTTTCATTGCCATGTTTAAGATTGTTTTGAGGCATTGTCAGGTAGTGTTGCCAACGATTTTAGAAATCACTTAGGTAAACCAATTCAATGCAAATATGCTCTGAGTTTCAGTTACTTTTAAATTATATTTTAAATATTAATATAGTTTGATTTTTTAAAATCTGTTTGAATATAAAAAATACTGTTCAGAAACGTGGATCTACGTAAATATTATGGGATCTCGAAGTAGATTTTTTTTAAATTTATATTTATTAAGATATTTGGTATATTCTTATGGGTTAGTAATAAAATTAAAATTTAAAAAAGTTCTTTAACATATCAATATATCAATATATCAGTACTCCTCTTGATATTGATACTCCTCTTGTAACTACTAAATTGGCAATTAAATATTAATATTTTGAACGGACAACTAAAGCCTAGATAGATAAAGGTAGATTTTTGTCAAATCACAAAACTCTTCTGTTTCGACAAAATCCATATTAGTTGGCTAATTTAAATAAAGCGAAACCAACTAGGAATTACGATTTCTGTCGGTAATGTGACACTGCGGATGAGGAATCTGTTATCAATTGTATATGTCAATGCCAATCATTGTCTGGGAGAAAATGCCATATATTTGGGAGACTGTTCATATCCACCGAACAGAATTGTCGTTGTTTAAAATTAGGGACATAGCCGCGGTCATAGATTTGTTAGGTTTAATTGATTTGAGTCTTCTCAAAAGGACAACTATTTTTCCTATCTTTGATAATATAGGTGGTATCACAGCAGGCAATTGTTTGCGCTTAAGTAAGCTTTGGATATACAAATTTGCTACTCCAACCAAATTCGACCTACTAAACTAAATCACTATATTACAAGCGACTTAGTTATTCCAATTCACTCACTATATTTCTATGCTAAATGATCTGTCAATGGAGACTGTTAAATTGATTTCCTGAGATAATTAAGTGTGAGTGCAACTCTCTCTATGATTTTTTTAAATTATATTTTGTGCGCACTTTAGGGAAGTCATTGTCCATGCGCTACCTCCCTACCTCTACGCCTATTTATTTCATATAATTTCTAGTCATCACCAACTGGCGCCGGAAACTATATTGTATATTTTTTATATGATTGTATTATATATTAGTATAAATGTATGTAATTTTCATTTGAATTTATCAAAAAATAGCTAAGCAACTAATTATTTTATAGCTAAAATAAGTTACTCGGTAATGCACTAGTATAATTATGAGATTTTATTATATATTCGTTCTTGAGAACAAAATTCTGTTATTTTTTTGTTATTTAGTATTAAATTTAGATATTTCAAGGATATAATCAAATAAAAATCATTTAATTTACTTTATTTAAAATATCTTTAAAAAATATATAACAAGGCTTGTTGAATAAAATATCTGCTAATTTGGGATTAATTGACAAGACTTAAATGAGATTTTTTGGAAAGAGAGATATATTTTTAAGAGAAAAATATATTTCCCATAAATTTATTCTTAGCACATTGTTGACACATTTATTTACAAATTATGTTAATTAAAGTTTAAACTTAAAAAAAAATTAATTTTATGTGTGATTTTTTATTTTATAGCTGGGGGAATTACTTTCAGAACATGTAATCATCATAATATATGTCACTTATTTAAATTGCAAACATTCTTCACTGATTTATTTTCAATCTAGATATCATTTTTAACTTTTGCAAATGCTTAATTGCTTTCCATACATTATAAGTACTTTTATATACACATATATTACAAATTATTTACTAATTACAAAATGTTTTTTAACTATACTGTATAGCATGTATATTTATAAAAATAACCATTATGATTTTTTAAATAAACATAATCTATTAATCCACTTTATCTGCCTAGATTCACAAAAAATTCATTCCTTAAGATATACTCGTTACCTTAAAAACGACGCGAGAAAAGCATCGCCGATTCATATTAATAAATATAGATCGAAAGTAATATGCTAATGAAATATATACATATACTCTATATGTGTTATATATATAATTATATATATTATATATATTATATATATAAATTATATATATAATTTATATGGTATCTAAAGTTCTCTTCATTATATAAAAAACACCTCTTCATTTTATACATATAATATGAGGTTCAAATATGTTAAAATATTATTAATACAGTCTTTATTTTGTTGTAGACAACACTGTATCTTCTATCCAATCAATGTAAGCTGATATCCTTGTATATACACTAGGTGGTTGACCAGCACATCCCTGCCCAAAGGATGTAATTCCAACAATATAATCATGATTATTATATTTCATGATTATTGGTCCACCAGAATCACCCTATAAGACAAATAAAATATACTGTTACCTACTAAAACTACTTTCAGAATAAACATACCTGGCAAGTATCTCTTAAATGTTCAGGATCTCCAGCACAAATTTGAGTATTCAGAATTTCTTGTTGTTCATATTCGGAATCTGATGTATAATATCTTCTGCAAATGTTATTACTGACTATGTTTAAATTAGCTTTTAAAAGTTGATCGGAACCTTTCCCACCTAAATTAATTTTGTATAGGAAAAAAATAATAAATTAAAATAAAATAATATTAGAAATTATATAAATAATTTTAATTTAAAACTAACCAAACATTGTGTGACCATATCCAATGGCAATGACGTTAATATTAGGTACTTCATATTTAGTCCATAAACAAACTATATTTTTACTAAAAAAGGAATGATTTTTGAACTTACATGTGTATGCTAAAATTATGTTATTGTGTATATCTATTATTATTACAATATATAAGCTGAAGTCATAAACATAAATATAGGTAATAATGTCATCCACTTATATATATGGAAATTAATTAATTGTACATATTATTTTTATACATTATAATGAGTGATTTATATAAATATAAAGAAATTATTTAAATAATAACTAACTTACTTTGATTCCTCTTCAAGTTCTATAAGTGCAATATCATTATGATATACTATATATTTATATGCGGGGTGTACAATAATTCTTTTTATATTAATATTCGAACCAGAGATATCGGTTAGATTCATTCCTCCAATTCGAACGTATTTTGGATATGAGCTGAAAAAGGTATTATGTTATAAATAGGTATGTTTGAAAACTTTTTAGTTTCATTGCCAATAATTTAAGTTTACCCGGCAAAATCTGTACAATGTGCAGCTGTTAAAACGAATCTCTTCGTTATTAGAGCTCCTCCACATCGATAAATTATTGAACTATCAAAGTTCGATGACCAGCCCAAAGCAGCCTAAAACAAAAATATCAAACTTATTATTCTTCAAAAATGGGGTTTTGATATAAACTAATATACCATGTATGGAAATTCATTCAATTCGGTGGGTTTACCATGTACTACTGATATTAAATCATCTATATTTAGTTGATGAGAGCTTGTTTGCAATGGCGGTATTGAAGAGAAATTAAGTTCTAACACACATTCTGAAAATATATAATATATTGATATATAATAACTATATGAACTATATGTTTCTTGAAAACTTTTCAGCTGATCAAATTTAATTAAACAAGTTATTATGAATATAATCTTTTGTTAATGAAATCGAGTATATTGTCTTCGCTACAACGAATTTATTAAAATTATATTTAATAATTAAATTTTAGTTATTACTTTTAAACATTACTTTATAATGAAAACAAAACTCACCCAGTTCACTAGGACGTCTCTTTGTTTCTATTGGTATATAAAAGTTGAGCCCGCCGGAACCTATTTCGCAGCAGACAATCTGTTCATACTTGTTGAAGTAACAAGTTTTAGGTGGTTGTCTTTTATCATATAGTGCTGAAGGACAATCAGTCAGATTTTTGCATTTGCCTTTGATATGTTGTTCTTCATCCAAATAGCAATCATCATAAGAATCATTCTTTGGATAAATTATACCAGTTTGAGATTTAGGAATAAAAGCCGGAGAAGCCGCTATTTTTAGTTTCAGGTCAACAATTATAAAGTATAAAAATTTCGATTTAAATAAGTATATATAACTTAAGATACGTACACGTTAGAATGTATAAAAATAAAACCATCCATAAAATCTTCCACATAATTTTTGTTTTTAAATTTTTCAAAGAATATGAAGTATCTTGAATCTCGTTTCTGCAACAACTGTCAAGTAATGAAGCTAGATGATTTTGATTTTAATGTATGTTGAATTTTTGTATATCAAGTTTATATGAACAAACTGGATTTTAAATGGAACTTCTTATCAAGTTGAGATTGACTAATGCAACATAAAAAAGAGTTGTAGTGTTGCCAACTGTTTACAAAACCAAGTAAATAAAAATGTACAATAAAAAAGTCAGTTATTTTTAAATTGTTTCAAAAGAAAATATAACCTTTTGGGTCTTATGATTATAACTCCACATCATGATAAAGAAACAGACACATTGTGAGTATAAGAGTATAAGAAATATAAAGGTTTGCATTGTCACCGCATTCAACCTATTATGGTATATAAAAGTAAAGTAACTGGATAGTATATCAGTTCAATTATAACACATTGTAAAGGTATTATATAATATATTGGTAAGAAATTGTTTCCCACCCAAACTTTTCTATACGTTAACTATGAGATTATAATCGGTGACATACAATTTTGATCCTATTATTACTTGTTATAATATATCTGAAGAATTTCTGTAAAAGGAAAAATTTCCTTTTATGGATAAAACGTGATTAAAAACACATTTTTATTGAATAGAAGCTTATAGGATAAAAGAAATATTCTTTATAATTTTAGTTTTACCATATTGTCAACATATTTATTTTTTAAACCTCAGTTAAATTCGATTCATAATAATTAAATTTTGCAAGCGATAAATTTTTATAATTAAAGTAACTTTATATTTTTTTAATTATTGCCTAATAGGCCACACAATATTTTCTATCCAATCAATATAGGCTGATATTCTTGTGTATACACTAGGTGGTTGACCAGCACATCCCTGTCCAAACGATGTGATTCCAACAATGTAATCTTGTGTGTTATATTTTATTATTATTGGTCCACCAGAATCACCCTAAAATGATAATTAAAGTTATTCACTAGAATGTTGTTTCCAATAGTTATTAATTATATATTTAACATACCTGGCAAGTATCTCTTAAATGTTCAGGATCTCCAGCACAAATTTGTGTACCTAGAATACCTTGTTGCACATATTCAGAATCCGGTGTATAATGCGTTCCACAAATTTTGTTACTGACTACATATATTCAAATCAGCCTTTAAAAGTTGATCAGAACCTTCTCCTCCTAAAGAAACACTTAGCAACATAATTATCTTCTTAAATTAAAGACCTACCGAATTTAGTGTGCCCATATCCAATCGCAATAACGTTAATATTGGGTACTTCAGGTTTACTCCATAAACAAACAATACTTTTGCTAAATAAAATTGATGTTCAATATTTATAAATATTATATTTAAAATGAATGATATGTGTATGATATTTTAGTATGATATATTTATTTATAAAGTATATAAATATACAATATAAATATGTATCTCATGCTTGTAAGTACTATGTACGTCATTTGTTAGATATAAAATGTTTATTTCGTGTGCATTATTTATATGTGTAGAATAATGATAGATATAGTTTTAACTTGAACATACTTCGATTCTTCTTGCAATTCTATTAGCGCAATATCATTATAAGACGATACGTAATCGAAAGTGGGATGGACTATAATTTTTTTTATTTTTATGTCGGAACCGTTGGTGTCAGTTAAGTTACTTCCTCCAACTCGAACAAATGTAGGAGAAGCACTGAAAATATTTTTAAATAAAATATAACTAGTATTTTGCAAAAATGATGTAGTAAGATCCGTAGCTAGAAATTTACTTTAGAAGGTTTTCAAATAATTTCATTATTTTTAGGGCCATTCAAGCCCTAATCGTCTTAGCTACGTTCGTATGTATATTTTTAATTAAAAAAATGTGATTGTTAAAATTATTTTAAAAAAATTAAATTATTAATTATTAAAAAAAATGCAATTTATGTATTTTATTATAAATTATTTATGACTCACCCTTCAAAATCAGTGCAATGTGCTGCTGTTAAGACGAATCTCTTTGTTATCAAAGCTCCTCCACATCGATAGATAATTGGGCTTTCAGTTATCGATGACCAACCCAAAGCAACCTAAAAAACAAATATTTTTGACTAAATCTGCTGTGAGCAATTTCATACTTGTACAAATAAAGATTTATACCATATAACGAAATTCACCAGGTTCGGTAGGATCACCATATATCAAATATCTTATGTCTTGCGGATTGTCTTCAGCAGATTTTGTACATTCTATAAATATATACTCAATAAAATTATGTTTATTGATATCCTTATAATTAAATAAGAAAAAAGAATAATTAATTTATTAAGATATTTATGATCCATTGATAGAGAGCTTACATTTATGATCCATTGATAGAGAGCTTACATGCCTACTTGGTTAACATGCAACATGCAACAATAATTTCTTTAAAATCTCTTGACTATTTAATCTAATAATTCAATTAAACCTTAATTTAAAATGGGAAATTACTACAGTTTCATTTCGTTTTGTCTAACTTCATTCTGTTCTAGTAGCATTATATATAGTTCCATTCAATAACTATATGCAAGAAGTTACCGATTGCCATAAGTTAAACAATTAAATTTAAGTTTAAATGTAAATATAATTCTGCTAGAAGTACTGTTAAATATTAAATTAAATTGAAAAATAATGAACACATTGACAACAGTGATTAGTAGATAATTTGATCTTAATAGAAACATGGTTAAGTTGCCATTTAATATTTAAATAATAAGCGATGATTTCGTGAGTTTATTGTCATAGGGATTAGTTGAGTCCTAATAGTAAAGTTTAAGTGCAAGTTGATCAACAAGAAATTTTGATACAAACTTAGCTCATTAGTGGAGCAGTCACCTTTTTGAGAAAGAGCTACACGTTATGATGTTTAAGCGATCGCAACAGAAATCTAAACTTATCTCTGCTTATCATGCATCTCTTAAATTATATTGTATTGAAAACATATCGTCTTGAACTGTAAGTACTTAAAACACTCTCAGATACCATTTCCATCAATAAAAAAAAAAAACAAATTAGTAAGTGTATGCAATCGGAAAAATCATATGCAGTCTTTAAATCTTCCACGGTAATTAGGAATGTAGCCTGAAGAACTTAAGCGCCCCGAAATGAATGGAAGCACTACATTACTACACTACATATATTAACACATAACGGCTGTTAATAAGCTAAAAATTGTTTTTTAAATTCCGAGAATTTTCTACACCCTTTGCAGTAAATTTTTTTTTTGTAAGAGTTCATTTACATATTTACATCATTCAGTAATCTGTGCTGTCAATGTGTTTGTAATTTTTAAAATTAATCTCATATAACTTTAATCAATAAACATATCAATCAATATGAATGGATGGTATATGCTATAAAATGATAGGTAATTTTTAAACATTATAACTTTTTTAAAACATTAATATTTAATTGTTGTATATCTTACCCTGCTCACTAGGACGACTTTTTGGTTCGAAATCTATTTCACAGCAGACGATTGGTACGAACTTGTTAAAGTAACAAGTTTTAGGTGATATTCTTTCATTTCTCAAACGATATAGTGCTGAAGGACAATCATTCAGAATTTTACATTTACCTTTGATCTGCTGTACTTCGTTAATGTAACAATCATCATAAGAATCATTTCTTGGATAAATTATGGCACTTGGATCTTTACAAATTGACGTAGAAAAAACGCCAGCTTTAAGTTTAAAACTTTTATTAGGAAACGCAGAATTACTTGTGTAAATAAATATATTAAACTTACAATTAGTATGTATTAAAATATGTAAAACTGGAATAACCCATAAAATCTTCCACATTATTTTTTCTTTAAAAAATCTAATAGACGTGAAGTAATTCAAACCTCAGAAATATTGCTACTGATAAGTCACGATTTGTTATTTGTTTATGTTCAATTTTTGTTATTTGTTACTAGTACAGGTTGAGATAATCAAGAGAAATGAAAATCCAGTTTATTTTGAATGGATGTCATTAATTTTAAGAACTGCTTAGATAATATATGCAAAAGTTATAGTGTTGACAACTGTTTAGTAACCTTTTCTATTTGTTTATCTTAACTTGAGTAAATTTTAAAAAAGTACAAGACAAAAATATCTTTTATTCGAAACTAAAGTTTATTAACAACTCTTGAAAAGATCTTAGAACTTTTATTAAGAGAGATTGATTTTTAGGAGAAGAAAACTAGTAGTTGTTTGATCTTTTCATAGTGGATTTTTCGTTTTAGATACTTTTTAAATTTTCTATTTTAATTTCAGATTCTTAACATTTATAAATATTAAT